AAATTGACTACACTCTGTTTTCTTATATTCTTTCATATTTCTGGAAATGAACCCTAATTTTGGCGCATTTGGGTGAATTTTCAGTTTTTACTCAAAAAATGAGGCTATTTAGACTTTAAAAGGACTATTTTGTAAATTTGTGATGAAAAAAAAGTGACTGGCAGTGAAAAGATTATAGCCTATGATAAATATGAAATTATGTCTGTTCAATCCAACATCAAGAAAACAAGTTGAGAAAAATATGTAAGAAGAGGGTAAATGTTTTATGGAAAGGAAGGGTTATATATATACCACATCTGAACTTAGTCTCTTCTCAAAGGGTGTCTGTGTTTGGGTGTTTTTGGGTTTGCCTTATTCATGTCTTGGGAAATTCCCCAGTGGGGTGTGTCTAACAATGAATTGTATCTTTTAAACCATTCATTACAACTTTCAGTACATTACACTCAACATGGCCATTAGTATAACTGTCTGCTTCCAAACAAAATGCTTAAAGTATGTTTAAAAAATTATGTTTGCTACACGTCAAAAAGAAACATGAAAATGATAATACCTGATTTTTTACCAATAACTTTTCTGAAGTGTTGAATATGTGAAATAAAAAGAATTTAAAAATGGCATTTCAAGTTTTCAAGTGTATATCTCTGATGTAAATGAAAGGAGTTTTTATTGTTGTGATGTTTACTTTCAGCAGTATAATTGTAACCTAAACAAACCTACAACAGCCTATGGTACTACTATACAGTTACGCTCCAATTGTTCTGAATGTCTAGTACTTCCGATATCATATCCGGCCAATCTTTCAGGTTTTTGTCCAGTAGTGGCCAGTCTGTTTATAATTGAATTCTCATGTCCATCCCATTCCGACTGAATCCGGATGTCTATTCCTTCGAGGAATTGCAGGGTGTCAATATATATACACCTGTGGACATTGCTGGAGTGTAGGAGTGTCAGTTAGGATGTACAAGTACGTTCTGCGCACACCTACTAAATATGATGATTTCACCTGTGGCTGAGGCTTGTTATAAAGAAAAAAAATTAAACAAAATGCTTATTCTTAGAATGTGAAATAAAACTATGGTTGGTGTGTAAATTGTTATGCTCTGCCAAAAACCATTGTAAAATAAGAATGAATACACCGCTGAAGAAGCAGTACTATTTTTGGATGGGGGGGGGGGGGAGTCATGAGAATCGAGTGAATAACGAGACAGAAAGAAAACCTGCTGTGCAATTCTGACAATAGTTTAAAATTCAAAGTGTCTAAAAGAAAGGTGACGTTATTCACTGCAGTTGAAAGGGATCACTGGATTGGTATGCATGGAATGCCTTTACTGCTTTCTATGCACATATACCAGCTAGTGTAAACGACTAAAAAACTAATTTATAATTTTGAGGTTGTCCTATTACAGTAATTTCACTAGAAATTAATCTAAAAATTAAAATATAATTAGCACATGTGTATATGTAGTCACATGACCTCGTTTATCTCCTGGAATGTCATCATGGTTATATAATAATTTTACTCAAGGTTCACTCTGTTTCTTCTCTCTCTCTCTCTCTCGATTTTTCTATGTCTCCTCTTTAGGTGTTTGTAGTTTAGAGTGCGTCCATGGCGAACCTAATTTGAAAAAGTGCCGATGCAAATGTGAAGACAATTGGAAAGGCGAAAAATGCGATATAGAGAGAAATAGTTGTCATAGCAAAAAATGCAAGCATGGTTCCTTGAACAAAGAAAGGTTGGTACATTTTGTAATTTAAATTGTTAGCAATTTAAAACTTATTTTATATTTCAGTTCTGCAGTTCAATATCTGCATATTTATAGAGTTCTTTATTGATTGATATCCAATGCTAAATTGTCAGCGAAAACTATTCCTGACCCCTAAAGGTTGTATGTTCAGTACTTGCTGGTTTTTAAGTGTCCCACATCCTGGTATTAGATGATACTTAAGTGTCTGACTTCCTGATATTTTCTGATCCCTAAAAATTGTACTTCTGATACTTTGTTTCCTAAAAGTTGTACATTTTATTTTCTAGGTTTACTTACGCTAATGTACTGTAAAAAACTTTATTTTAGCTGGAATTTATTTTTGCTGATAAGACATTTTGGGAGTTTTGTATGGAATTTATTTTCACTGATTTTTGACAAGTTGAATGTAAAATATAAAAAAAAAAAGGTATATTCGCTGGATTTCATTTTCCCTGAATCATTCCTTCAGCGAAAATTAATTCCAAGCGAATTTAATGTACTTTACAGTATATAATTATTTTTCTTTTAAATAATAATAGTTCTAAATTAACTAAAAAAATGATTAGGAGAAATTATAAATCAGGATTGTTTATTGTTTACATTTAGGGGGCTGTGAACAAGTCCATTTTCACATCAGACCATGTATTCCTATATAATGTGTTTAAAACCATAGCCGTTTTTTTTTCTCTTTCAGCTGCAAGTGTATTTGTGATGATGGTTATTCTGGTGAATTTTGTAATGTCACATCCATTGCCACTACGACTGTCCTTGCAGTTACTGTTCCTCAATGTCCGAAGGTGACATGTGGAGCTCATGGTGCTTTAGATGTGCCAAAATGCGAGTGCAATTGCGAGTATGGTTGGCAGGGTGATTTATGTGAAACAGGTTAGTTTAATTTCAATATCGTATAAATGTTTTTAAAATTAGTGGTTCAATCTTTCATGCTGATATTGATTGCTATATGATATAGTTACATATTGTGGGAAAATCTTTTTGAGAGGATTCATTTTTGGAAATGTTTAGTTTCAGCAACTGCTTTCAATAATAACTTCAAGGTGGTTTATCACTATAATTCAAGAGTGCTGTTTGACTATAGATATTTAGACATATACCATAGTCTTTTGAGTGTTTTTACCTGGTACAAATCCCAATGTTTTTATGTGAACAACAAGATAAAATCAAATCATACTGTAAAAATCTGACCTTAATCACAAAATATCTGTTTCACCATTTTGGTGATTGCCATATTTTTGTTTGAAATTCCTTCAGAACAGCATTTTTTGAAGAATTTAGTTTGTTTTTTTCAGCAACACCTCAACATGGTATACCCTGTGAAGTTGAAAATTTTTGTCTCAACCAAGGGAAATGTTATTATCTTCCAGATATTGGAGAAAAAATATGCCAGTAAGTAATGATTTATATTGAAATAATACATTTTGTCTACAATGAAGTTTTAATTGAGTCACAGCCATAAGATAGCCATTTTGAATTGAACTTTGACACATTGATATGAAAATCAGTTTTAGGTCAATTCAGGTCAAACCTAATTCATTATGGTCGACAATATTGCAAAAAGACTAGTTTTATCTTTTTCTTATCCAATCTAAAGGTGAAAAAGGCTACTTTCTTGCAATACCTGCTGTGTTATTTTTCTGCAAAAAGCTGTAAATTTTAGGTGGCTAACTTCAACATTTTTGAAGCTCTACACTCGACAGACAAAATTGGTATTGTAACAATTGACCATTTTTTCTGTGCTTGCCATCTCTGTATATTTTCATTATTTCATAAATCTCATTCTTGTCACATATAAAAGGCTACATTTATTTCCATTTTCATTGGTGTGCTCTTCTCTAATTCTTGCATTACTGGCAGGGTTAACCTTTTATAATGTCTAATTGTTTCCCGCTAAAATGTGTATGCAATATTGTGCACAATATTCTTTATTTTTCTTGGATGTAATTTCCCATTACCTACAGGTTTTGAAACTTTTTTTTTTAAAAGTGTGGGATAAATTGCAGAGATTTAATTTTGTGAAAGATGACGTTGCGTCATAGGGTTAAAGGTCAAAAGGTTAACCAGTCTTTTCAATAAGACAGCTAAAGATTGGGAGTCGGGGTGGGGGAGGGGTAGTATCCACTTTTCTCTTAAATGCAAATGTCAATACTAACAAAATAAAAGAATCCTAACTCTTGTGCTTTACTTCACTGTTAGAGGGCGCCCCTCAAACACAAGAGGGCAGTATTGAGTCAACAGCACACCATGATGTGTTGAGCGAATTTTTTAATCAATGGAAATGATGTGTCTATCTTGCTAGCAAAACTGGCTCTCAATTTATCATTTGGTTAATTGATTGCTTCCCTTGAAAAAAACAAAAAAAATTCACAATACATTATAATTGAATGAATTTAAACTGTATTAGATTCTCCTCATTGATACATGTTAATTCATATCATTAATTTTTTGATTGCTCCAGAATTTGAGGAAAAACACGTTTTTTTTTTTACTTGTTTAACATTTTCGTGAGTTGTGTGTTTGTTGGTTATTTATTCCTTGTGCCCACAAAGCAACAGAACTCAATTCCGATGATATATTATAAGGAGTTGGTGTTTGTTTTCAGCTTACCAATACACCGCCTTTCAGACGCTATTTTTTTGGGACTGGTACAGTCAAATGATGTTTTTCATGGTATGCGGTGTTGGCTTGTTTTAAAAGGCACCATCATAGTTATTGTCTATAGTCTTCATAGTTTGAAAGTTACGTCTTGTGGCCTGAGACTTGGTTCAGACATTGCTTATCATTGATCGTGCTCACTTTGCAAGCTTGAATTTTGTCAAGTCTCCCACTGTGAGGTGAAATGACTTGAGATCAAATACTGGGAACTGCAATTTAGCTACCATCAACAACTACAAAAATTGATTATGTTCATTCTACCCACTTCACCTGTCCCATCTGCATATTGCTTGAAATTTTTAATTTGTGGTTTGTTGCCTTGATATTACCAACTGTATTTTGCTTAGTAACATCTGCATGTGTATGTCTTTTATGTTATACTTTGAAAGTTCAGAATTCAATGACAACAAAAATACACCACAAAACATAATACGAGAAAACTAATTAACAACACAAAAAAACAACAACGCATGCTTCAACTTCACCACCACTTTTTTTTTTTTGACTGCTTCCTGCATGCTGTCTTGACCCTTTTCTGGTGATGGTCTCTGTTGTAGTTTCTTTTGCAAGATACGAAAAACTAAAACAAGGCAAAACAAATCGATTGTATTGAATATGTTATGCTTTTGTAACTGCATGGAATATCATTATTTGTGTGTTCAGAAAAAATTCTCCACGCATTGCATTTTTTCTTTTGTTTTACTGTTATTTAACTCTTGCATGTTGCCAGCACTATAATTGACCCTCCCTTTATGGACCCCCTAGGTGCTTATAGAAATGGTAGGGAAGTGGGTAGACAAATGAAAATGACAACTTTTGTAAGCATAGAACAGGATTGGTTAATCGTAAAATAAGGTAGCATGCACTTTGCTTGGAACAGAGTGTGGTTGGAATGATTGACATAAATTGAAGAATTTGTTGGAAAATAAAAATTCTCCTGTTCCTTATTCACGTTATGCTTAAAAAACAGCTGATTTGGCGCAGGTTTGCTTTTTTGCTATAACCTAAGGGGTCTATAGAGTGCCCCCCTGAATCAGGGTAGTTGTAGTGCGGCCCAGTTTCTGATCTCGTCAACCCCCCTCACAGGTGTAAGCGGAATTATAACGGCCACAGGTGCCAGTATCCTAAGCCGGGAGGCAAGCACTCTGGTAACTCAAGTGAAAACTGCAACTACTGTTTAAATGGAGGTACATGCGAGTTCCTTGATGAAATTAACCAGATTGTCTGCAAGTAAGTAGAATGTAGCCCTCCCTGAAAGTTGGGAAAATCAAGAATACATTGCAATAGATAACGTCCCAAGAATCCAAGGAAGGCAAAGAAAGGACATTTTGTCATAATAATGGAAAAATTAATTTCTGTAATGGGTAATTTTCAGTCATGAAATTACTTGTTCTTCAATAGCCGTCATTTCTGGTTACCAGAACAACAATTACAATTATGCAAATTACCTATTCAATTCTGAATTTGTCATTGGTTGTTCATGTGATGAGCATGTGATGAGCATGTGATGCTCCACCACAAATCTTCTTATGGCTGTGTGACAGTCTTTGTTTCTATCTAATGTATTATATTTCTCTGTCTCTGTCTGAAACATTTTTTCAAACGATCCCCTTTTAACTCTTATTTACAACTGGTAGAACTGCAAAAGTTTGTTGTTTTAGCTAGAGACTGGGTAGTTGTGAAATGCAATTTCATGGCTGGAAACTCAAAATTGTGGACTTGGCCTAAAAAACTTCTTGTTCTTTGGACAGAGAACTTCTATATTTTATTACTATTTATTTATTTATTTATTTATTATCGTTTTGGGGTTATGGATCACAATTGAAAAATACTGACATAAAAATCTGTGGCAAAAGGCCTGAGCTGAAATGAGAACAGTATTTTCTTAGGCCGGGCCTGAAATGTTTTTTGCTTGGCAGTTTGGTTCTGTGTCTTGTTGCCTTCCAACTATTTTTTTCTTATTGAGAATAGTTAAGGACAAATTGGACTTATTTTATGTTCGTTTTCATGGTTGCCAGACAGAACTTTTTCTTTTATTGACATGTGTGCAATTCAATATTATTATTATTAATGTAAATATTTGTATAAATATTTGTGTTCCTTATTTCCTCCAGTAATGACTATGTCATGAACTATGACATGACACATATTGTATTATTTGTATGTTGCTATGGTAACATTATAGTATGTTTATAGTATTTTCCACAGTGTTCAGTCGGGTATTGAACAATTTTATTGAATTTTTTTTTAAATTTGTGCATAATGTACTTTTTTTAGGTTACACATCTTGTGAAAGCTGCATTTTCTTGAGATTAATGTTTTCAGATTTCTCCCCAGCTGATGAAGTGCAGCTTTCAAGTGTTTTTGAAAAAAAATTGATAAAAAAAAATTAAAAAGTTTTTTTTTTTTTTAAATGCCTCTACCTTTTGTTGGCATAGCAACAAGAGGATACGAAATTTTAATCCTCGCTTTTGAAATTGTAACCATTTGAACGCCATAAATTTCCAATAAATGGTCAGACATTTTGCACGTTTTATTTATTTTTAAAATTTGTTGTTCATTTTGGACCAAATAGACATGGTTTCTTATTATCGACATCCAAAGTTGTGAAGATATATGGAACAAAGTGGCGTTCAAAGGGTTTATAGAAAAAATAGTATTAATTTTGATTTTCTCTCCAATACATCAAGTGCAGCCTATTTTTTTTTTTGCACCATGTAATTTGTGATGCAGATTATGCAAATATTTTAATAATATTAATTAAAACACCAACCTGCCAAACCCTCTATTTTAATAATAGAACTCTGCTTAAAAAATTCAAGGACTTTTTCCCAATTCTGTAGGGTTCACTTTAAGGTAGAAGCCTACTTATAATGTTTGAGAAAGTTATTCAAAAATTGCATGACAATTGGTTTACTGTGCACTACTGTGGAGGTATATCCTATAGTTCCATAGTAACATAGAGCTTTTTTTTAGAGAACATTGTCCTAATAATCAAAAATCACTATTTTTAGAACAAGTTCATGGAACCCAATGTTGAAAAAAAATTGCATTTTGTGTCATTTTTTAAAACTTTTTAAAATAATTCAGGATAATAATAACTACCCCATCAATCCTGTTATATAATTTGTTCAACCTATGTAGCTACCTAACAACTTGAGATATGACACAAAAACTAATAATAAAAGCGTTATAATACTTAATATAGTCGCAATTAACTATAAATACAAACATTTTCTGAAAAAATTAAGCTGGTAACTTAAAGTCAATATATTGACTGGGAGTACAATTTATTGCAAAAATGAATTATCTTGTTATTTTTTTTTTTTATTTATGAGTAGGTTTCTACCTTCAATTTTATATTTACAACTGTTTTTAGTACACCATTTCTGAAGCAGTACAGTACCTGATATTCTTTTTATATACACTGTTGATTTATATTTCTGTTTTGAAAACAGATTAGACTATCACTAGTTTTAATTTAAATGAAAAAAGAAAAATTTTTCCTTTCAAGCTGGACAATTCCACAAAAGTATGACACTACACCACATATATTTTTTTTTACTGATAGAATTGCTACTCAAGAATACATACTGAAAGTATTCACAAATGTTAAAAAATAATTAACATTGGGTTATTATAGCTGTTAGGATTACCAGGGCACATTTTGTGAGTCATTAAATTGTTTTTTTATTGTCGTAGTACAACAATGATTCTTCTGTCATGTTTTCATCAAGGAGAAAGCTTGTCAAAGATGCTAGAAATTACAGGAACAGGCAACAACGGTATTTTTTTCGATGCGTAACGTCTTTCGGGATCTAAATATGATACTGCACCTTAAACGTCTGAGCTGTGGGTTGGACTACTCCAAGACAATTTACAAAATCAAGAAAATGTTGATTATCTTTATTGATGTTCGAATTAATCAAAAAACTTGTTCACGTAACACATTAATTAAACAGGTTATGTGTATAAAAATTGCTTGCCGTTGATAGACTGCATTTACTTTAAGCGACTTGTCTGTTACATGATCCGAGGAATGGAAAATGAGATATCTTTACCAGGAACAAGTTCTTAGTACATGTACTTGAACCGTGGTACCTAAACTTGTCTGTTCTGAACATACCGTATATTATTCAGCATGTTTTTAAAAACTGGTTACGTATGGAAAATATGAGATGGGGACGATTGGACACTTGTGTAATGGACTCAGATGAACTAAGAAAGGTTTCACAGAAGTCATACGGAATACTCTTCCCATTAATGTTTGCCTCAGTTGCATGTCCCTGTATTGTCTAGTGTCTTTTGTCCACTCCTTGGCAATTGAATTCACCAATGACTATCGGTATGTCTGTATTGGAATATTCCTGTTACAATAATTTTTGTTGTTGTTGAAAGCCGTGACAAGTTAAAAAAAATACCCAAATATGTTATCTTAATTGTATATTTTTGTAAGTGATTAGTATTTATGTATGTTATCATCTTCATCAAAATATAATTCAAATCAAAATAACCTTTCATTTTGTAAGATTCGAATTTAATTTCAAAAGCATCATTAGGTGCAACTTTAAGATTTTAATTCACTTTGGAAAGCTTCATTACGTACAACTAGTGTTTAAATTCAGTTTAGAAAGCTTTTTTTAGGCATAAAGAAGGATTGAATTGAATTTAGAAAGCTCTTGTTAGGTACAACAATGATTTGAATAGAATTTTGAATGCTTCATTAGGCACAGGCAAAATTTGATTTCAATTTAGAAAGCTTTTGTTAGGTGCAACTAAGATTTGAATTCAATCTAGAAAACTTAGGTGCAACTAAGAAATGCTACAATAAATAAAATATTTTTTTATGTAGCTAAAAATTATGTACATTATTTTGAATACAATTTGATTAATATGAGTTACATTGCTCTGTCATTACATAATTCAATTTGTATTGTGATGGTAAATTTTGAAGATAGTTGCAGCTTTGTGAAATTTAAAAAAAAATTAAACTTATGTAAGATCATTTTAAAAGGAACAGACATTCATTTAAAAAACAAAAGACTAATTTGCTGGCTGACAAAAACTTTTATGTGGTAATTAGCATAAAAATAGCAGCCATTTTGAATTAGACAGTTAATTCTATTCTTTTCTTCAAACTTTCCCAAATGGTTATAAAGAATAACTTTGCAACCTTTCTGGAGCTTGTGCCAATCATGTGTTCATTGATTCTTTCCCTAATTTAAATTTTTTCCTGGCTTTAATTGTTTTTCTGTACTTCATTCCTCACACGGATGTGACCAAAATTGAACTTTTTACGATAATGAAATTAGACGTCAAAAAAATTTATTATCTCAAATTTGGGCAGCAACATATTTCAATAACCAAAAAAAATGTCAAACTATACTCCGCTTCCTAAATTTTGGCACATAACTCTGTGTCCATGGAAACAAGCCTGGCTACCCTTTTGTTTATTTTCACATTTGAATATTTTGGTACAAACTATCAAATATAAATTTTCTAATCATTAGCCTTTGAATATATTTTACAATTAGGATGTTGACTTTTACATTATAGAAAAAAAAATTCTTTTAAAATGATCACATATTTGATAAAACTTAATAATTATATAATTTGTGTCATTTATACTTCATTAGAGGTCATTCCACCTGACCTCGGATTAGACTTTCATGCAAGGGATCTGCCGTTTAAATTTTGGAGAGGGGAGGGGTGGTCTAGGGTTTGAAAACTTTTCTGTTGAATCAAATTCTTTTCCCTATCGTACCTCTCCTCTATCCAACTTGCTTAATACAGATTCGTCATTGTTAATTTCTTCGGAGCAGCTTGTGGTACCTGTACAATATTTCCAAAGAGACTGCCCCAGTGGTATTCTAAAGTTGCTTGTTCATAGCTGGCATTCCATTTTTTCTTTTCTTTGGACAGGATGATAAACCAGGGTTCACTGTATAAATTATTATAAAGTTGCTGTTTGATTTTCAACTGGTGCCATTTTGATCCATAATTGAAATTAACAAGTTGCATTATTCTTGAGTTATTCATGCTGGATCTGGATTTGATTTTAGGACTGCACATCATAAAAACCCTGTCTTGCAGAATGTTATCTTGAATTCCAACGTCAGATCAGTCTCTCGCAATTGAACCTTTTCACCACTGGACCTCTTGCCCAAATTTGTCTGCACTTTTTCTTATATTCTTCAATGTTTCTGGAAATAAACCATAACTTTGAAGCCAACAGACAAAATTTGAGTCAGTTTTCAGTTTTTACTCAAAACAAATTTGGCTATTTTTGTTTCAATCTATAAACAATTGTGAATTTGTTGTAAAAGGAGGGAACTGGTGATGAAAAGGTTGAGCAGTTTACAGTGCATTTTTTCCATGCCTCATATTATTACATTATGTATAAAAAGAGTTTATAAAGATCTTCATTTTATCTTACAGTTTGAAATTTTTTTGGTGGCAGGTTCTTTTGCCAGTGGAATTTATTTTATTGGAATAAAGTATTTTTTCATATAAAAGAAAACTGTGTGATTCTTGTCTGAAGAAGGAAAAATAATAATTAAAGCAATTTTTTTTTAATTAATTTATTTTGCTCCATGTTAATAGTAATAATAAAATAAACTATTTGTTTTGTTTTTTTCAATGCACTACTTTGTTTCTAGCTAACAAACTCTATCATAAATGGAGATACATGTATATACTTAATATATTCATTTTTATTAAGTGGTGTTTTAATTATATGCATAATTTAAAGCTAACTATTTTGTTTTATCGTCTGACTTCAATACCACCCCCCCATTGCTTCTTATAAGGTATTAAAGGTGGTTTCTGACCGCACTTTATTTATTTAATTTTTTTTTGCAAATTGGTAAAATTGCGCACCTCCTCAAAAATGTTCTAATCTGGCACACCTTTTTTGTTCATTTTGTTTTCAGTTGTCCAGCGCCGCATACCGGACCAAGATGCCAGTATAAGGATCCATTCCATGTTGAAAGAACTAGAGAAGGTAAGTGCCTCAATTCCACCCCTATCACCCCTGGATATAAAATGGTATATCCCTGGCACGTGGACTCTCTTCCAAGCAAATTGGAAAAAAAATCTCAAGCATCGGAGACGTAGTTAGGGAATCATATTCAATGTATGCTGTGTTTTTTTTTCAGTTTTTTTTTTATTTGCTTGTATTATGAATTATGTTCTTTGTTCCCTGTTCGTATTCTGTAGTTTTTTTTTGTTTGTATGTATATTCTCGTTTGTAAAGTTAATGTTATTTTTTTAATCAACATATTTATGAAACCTTATTACTTATTGCATTGCATGAAGGACTGATTTTTACTTTGATAGACAAGGCATGGATATTTTAACAATGTTATTTTGCTTACCACCTCCCCTGCATGTTTTTTTTTTTTTTTAACCTTAATCACCTTTCTGTGTTTTAGCTTACACTTAGTTTTTGTTGTTTTGCGTATTCAGATGCAGAACAGTTGCAAGCGAAGCGAGTTCTTACCGTTGTCGGAATCTTTGTTGCCTTGTTGGTTCTAATCATCATCTGCATCATAGCATGGTGCAAAGCCAGGTGAGAACGCCCAAGCCAATCAAATGACTTGCACACGGTCATGTGATGGTCACATGATCAATACAGGCAGCATTGATTGGCTCCCAACTTACTAATCATTACAATAACCTTTGGTTGCTTATATTGTGATATTTTTGTGTGTTTTATTTATGGTGGTTGTGAATGTTTATGTAGCTGTGATTTAATTGGCTATTACGTGTCATGTGACTACATGTGGTTTAACCATTGGCTGTTGAATGTGATGTTATTTCGTACCAGTATCTTGTTGGCTCTCCAAGTTTTAGATTTATTCTACTGTTTGTTTTTTGTGTTGGTCATTTTTGTGTGTAAAAAGGTTAGAAGAGATCTGAGCTTACAAGTTGACACTTCTTGTGTGTCTGACCATCTTGGTAGCACTGGCAATTTCAGCGAAAAATAAAAAAAACGAATAGCAGTGGTTGCGCGTTGTTGTTGTTGTTTTATAGTATTATAGAATATGTATCGGCATATCTTCTGTGAGTTACATTATGACTGTGTCCCACAATGGCAGAATAGTAAAAGTGCAATGTTCGTGTATGTGTCAATCACCACATTTTGTTATGCACTAAGATTGAGAAGATGTATAATAAAAATGGACTTTTTGACTTCTTTGTCAGACGATACCCTGCTGAATGTGGTCACATCGACTTATTCGTCGGTTGATATTCCTCTGTCATTGTAAATTTTCATTATTATAGTAGTACACACACTCAATGAATTTTCACCTATGAATAATTTACCGTTCTTATGAATAATTCTATTTTTCTCATGAATAATTGATTATTGCCATGAATAGTGAATCCTGCTCATAAATAATTGATTATTCCATGAATAATGAATTTTGCTCTTGAATAACTGCTCAAGATGTCATCTATCTAACATTACAAAGTGTCAAAAATTTTTCATTTAGAATTTGTTTTTAATAAAGAAAGTATTTCTTTCTATTTGCAGGTCAGATCATAATTGTACTCATTACTCTGTGCGGACTACTGAGCCCATCGAGCCCACTCCGGTGTAGCTCACTAAAATAATGGGGTGGGAAAGACGGGGGAATGACGAGGGTTGTGGATACCATATTTGTTCTATTAGAAGTGCATTTTTAATAGAAGCGCACATAAACCCAAAATTACATTTATTAAATGCTAGATCTTTGAAATATGACCATTTGTAACCCTAGAAACATCTGTCATTTACATATTAGTATGTGCTACTAATTGGAGCATATATGGTAGAGGTATAATTTTATTTCTAAATTTTATTTTAAATCATAAAAGTCTACATATTGCTCCAAATGTTGTATTGTCTACATACTTTATAAATTGGTGCTGTTCAGTATGTACATATCAACTTGTTAAAGTAACGCTACAGCATGGATTATTTGATTTCCCGGCATTGACAGTTTTAGAGGTGTACACCTGCACCTGCTTTTCATTCCAAGCCCAGTCTACAGTATAACTTTTTATACAGCTCACTGGTGTCTCTGTTTCAATCCACTTTCATGATGTGTCCATTTTCCAGGTGTTCCAACAGGTGATAATTTATTAATATAAATAGGTTCTTTATTACCATTACCAAAATATTATAATTTTTATTTTATTTCTTAAATATTGTGTTTTCTAGCTTATTCAATTTATTTTTGAGAATGGTAACTGACACAAAACTAAAATGAGGGTTATTTTAAGAAGAAAAACCCCCAAAGTATGATTCTGTTATTTTTAATTGTAGTACGATTTTGCTTGATGGGGAAAACTCTTGATATTTTTGTTTTAATTTAAATTTAATTAGTGAAATCCATTATTTGGATGATAATCCTCTTGGTTATTGTGTTAAAATACTTACCACCAGTAGTAGTAATAGTATCGTATAGATGATTATTTATTTATTACACTTTAATACACTTGTGCCCTGTATATATTATAATTTTATATGTGAAGTCCCAACCGTGGTTTCTTGCCAGTATTTTGAAATAACTAAAATTAAACGTAAAAAAGTTAGGTTCAAAGAAGAGAAAAATTGAGGTGTTCTTTCTTCTAAAAGAGTATGCTTCTTTATTGCATTGTTTGACCAATCATCAGTTGATCATGTGATGAGTTCTGACCAATCACTCAATCATCGGTTGATCATGTGATGAATTCTGACCAATCACTCAATCATCGGTTGATCATGTGATGAATTCTGACCAATCACTCAATCATCGGTTGATCATGTGATGCATTCTGACCAATTGAAAATGTGGTCGGTCTTTTGTTTTATATAATCAAATAACTGCCAATCAACAGATCGTTACTTATTGATCCTCGATTATAAATGTCTAACTAAATCATAATGGTTGTTTGACGACATTCAAGAAAGCTTAATTTAACTGGTTTATTTCATTACAGATAAATATCAAAAATTTAAATTAGTTTTTTTTTAAACTACAAACCAGCATTTCAAGCTCTTTTTTTTTTTATAAAATACATCATTATTTAGTTACATCTCTATTTTCTCTTCAGTGAACTTTTGCATATCTACATACCTATGAATACTCTCATGAACTTGTATAGATCAACAATAATGTTGCCATGGTTACAACCATGACAATTCTCTAACTACTAATGTTTTTGTTTGTGATGTACATTTTATTTTTGTATCCTAGGTTGTCAATTTTATAAAATAAATATGTATATTTTGTTTGTATTTGTATTCTACTGACTCTGTTCTGTTTAACATGCCTGTAGTTTGTCTTCCAAATCCACTATCTGTTTGATAATGTCATAAATTATACACAAACAATGAGGGTGGGGGGACAGAAAAAATAATTCCCACTGAAAATAATGTATTCTATTGTATCTGTTATTCCATTTTTTTCTATAAGCACCGGGTATAAATGGGTAACAAGCCTTACTATAACAGTGTCCTAATCCTATATCCTTCAACTTTCAAACTGCATCTAGAATTTGGTTCATACAATGCATGAAGGTTAACGACAAATTCTACCTTCTCTTTTTTGAAAATGACTTTGCAAGCTTAACATGCCTGTATTTTAAACTGTTTTATTAGCTTCATGTCATCTAAGATGATAGAACAGATACGTTCATATAGGTGATTGTTCGTCGCCAGTCATCCATCAACATTTTCCACTTCTAACCCGCCCAATGTCTTTGAAACTTAGGTGGGCCTCTGCCAGATTTTTCTATTTCGCGGCAATATCATTAATTTTCCAATTTTAGGATATTTTTAAAACTAGACACATCTTTT